CCTCCAACTGCAACATTGAAGTTCTCAACACGCAGAACCCGAAAAACTGCTACTGCGCAAAAACCTTCCAGCAGCACGGCAGATGCTGAAAAACCTAAACTAACCTCTAAACTCCTAAACTCTATGTGCAAAACAACCCGCAAAGCCTCCATAAGCCCGCAATAAACCAACCACAACCCTAAACCCTAAACCCTGAAAACCTAAACCCAAAACCCAAAACCCAAAACCCTACCACCCCCAAGAACTCCCCTAGGTCCCAGGGTGATGAAAACCTCGTCCAGCTTTGCCGCCGCGCCCGGCTGCCCGACTCGGACGAGGTGGTTGTGTGTGTGTTATGCGTGTATGTGTGTATGTGTATATATATATATATATGTATCTATCTACTTATTTTTTGTTTGTTTGTGTATTTATATATTTGTTTATTTATTTAGGGATCTATTTATTTATTGATATGAAGACAGACATCCATACAAGTGTGTGTGTGTGGAACCGGTTGAGCGGCTTGTATTCAGTCATGAAGTTCAAGAACTTCTTGCTGTGGCATGGCACTGGCAGTGACCCGTTACTTGGACCAGTGACCTCTAACCCTGAACCCTAAATCCTAAACCCTGAACCCTACACCCTAAACCCTAAACTGTTGGGATGGGGCCCCGAAGCCCGCGACCCTGGATCCTAAGCCAAGCCTGCACGAACAGGATTTGTGCTCTGTGGACTGTACCGGTTTAGGGTTTAGCGTTTAGGGTTTAAGGTTTACGGCTTACAGGCTTCGTCGGTTCTACAGGGTCGCAATCTGGCAAATCCTCGACCGTGAGCCTTTTGCTCTTCAGTTGAGACTAGTACCGTGAGAAACTGGGTGAGGGTTTAGGGTTTGGGGTCTGGCCCGCACGGAGTTTCGGTTTAGAAGTATAAGCAAGGTTGCACAAGCGAGTGGATCGGGGCTATGCCTGCTCTGCTCACATCTGTCGCAGCCCTAGCTGTAACCATACTTTTCGATGCAAAGAAGCCCTTAAGCATGCAAAACTGCGCCAAACCACACAAAGGCTCTGCCGCAAACAGCACTCATAAGATCTCATAAGCCTAGACCCTAAACCCTCACCCAGTTTCTCACGGTACTAGTCTCAACTGAAGAGCTTTAGGCTCACGGTCGAGGATTTGCCAGATTGACGCCAGCCACAAGCCTCAAACCTTTTTCAAACCTGCAACGCAAGCTCGAGCTCGCTCTAACAAGTTCCAAAGCCCTGGCTCAAAGTCAGACGGTTTAGGGGTTTAGGGTTTAGAGTTTAGGGTTTAGGGTTTCGACTCTCACACTCGCACAAGGCCGGCAAGGCTCCGCATAGGGTTTCGGCTCTCACACTCCGCATAGGGTTTAGGGTTTAGGGTTTAGGGCCTAGGGTCTATCCAAGATCCCTCAATAAAGGGGCCCTGGTGAAGCAAGAGCAAACCAGATGCAAGGTGCTGGGAATGAGAAGAGTCCTGCAAGGGGACTTTGGAGACGTTTTGGGAACCCGAGCACCCTGAACTCTACACCATCAAACCCCCGAACCACAAAAGCCTCATCGGGTTTAGGGTCTAAGGGCAGGATCCAAAAGAGGCATGAGTTTGCGTTTACAACGATCCCTACTTCAGAAGATCAGCCCGGGGTTCCTTAGGACTGTTGCTGTTCGTCCTCATGTTACTCATATTAACATGGTACTTGTCTCTGAAGAAGATGGTATATATTTTATAGTTTTTTGCTCTTGCTCCGGCAACTCGCATAACTATGAGCATTCTTATTGCTACACGAATATGTTGTTTTTGCCCTGGTTAATTTCATGACTGCTGTTATTCTTCTTATTGGAGTATCGTTATCATCGCTCCTGGTGCTCTTAAAACCTGCGACTCTTCGTATTAAGCAGCAACAACAACAAAGACAACAATGACAGTGAAAACAGCAAGAGTAACAAAAATAATAAGTATAGCTATAACAAAAGCAACGACAATAATAATGAGAACAACAGGCATGATAGCATTAGTAGCATTAACAACAATACTAGTGACACTAACAGCAAAAAACGAATAGCAATACTAATAATAATATTACAAACAGTAATACAATAATAATAATAAGAAGAAGAAGAAGAAGAAGAAGAATAATAATAACAATACACTAATACTAATAATCACCATAATATCATAGTAGATTAAGAACAGCATCTTCCAGGACGTCGGGCCGAGGAGTTTTCTGCCGGAGCCGGGAGGCTCCTCCAAGCTTCCTCCGCGGTCCAGGGGGCGCGGGTTTTGGGATTCTAGGACTCTAGGGTTTAGGGTCTAGGACTCTAAGGGTTAGGGTTTGTGATTCTAGGACTCTCGGGTTTAGGGTCTAGGATTCTAGGGTTTAAGGTTTGGGATTCTAGGATTGCAAAGTTTAGGACTGTAGGGTTTAGGGTTTAGGATTCTAGGGTTGCAAAGTTTAGGATTCTAGGGTTTAGGTTCAGGGCTCAGGATTCTAGGACTCTAGGGTTTAGGGCTTAGGATTCTACGACTCCAGAGTTCGAAGGCTTTAATCGTAGAGTTTATAAGGTTTAGGGCTCCACGTTTTTACTCGTAGAGTTTATGGTTTAGGAATCTAGGACTCTGGGATTCTAGAAGTTAGCGTGATAGAGTTTGGGGTTGATGATCCAGGGTTGGAGGCTTGAGACTTAGGGTTCTGGGATTTAGGATCATGGAGTTTAGGGTTTAGGATTCCAGGATGCGTTTCAGGTTTTTAATGTTGGGGGTTTAATGGGTTTGACCTCTAACAACTCGGCCCAGCCAGGCGTCTAATGGGTTTGAGGCTTGGGGCTCAATGGCTTGGAGGTGCATGCTTTTTCTTGGGAGGGAGGGGGGGGGGGGNNGTTTAGGGTTTAGGGTTGAAGGTGTATGGTTTAGGGTCCAAGGATTGTGGGTTTCAGGTTTTCAGGCGAGGGTTTCGGGTTTCAGGCTCGGGGGTGAGGGTTGTTCCACTCGGCAAAGCCGTATGAATCAACCCCAACATAACCCCGAAGACCCTAAACCCTAAACCCTAAATCAAACCCTGACCAGAAAAACCATCTGGGCGTCACTTTCAAGGGTTCAGGCGATTGAAACCTAGGATTTCAAGGTCGGAGCTGGTTTTAGATTACCTAACTGGGCCAAACCTTGAACTTACAAAAGAGGCGTCTGGAATTAGAATAAGGCAAGGAATAAATAGGCTTCATGAATTATGCAAGGTCGATTGCAATCTCTGTAAGCACGAAGTCCGGACTCCATCCAACGAGAATCGTGTTGACAACGAGATCTGGAGAGTGTCGCGTTCGCTGTTCGACCTCGAATTTGCTTGGGACTTCTCTCCCTTGTGTACTTTGGCTGCAGCACATGCTTCTTGACAGGTATATGGGGGTTTCCGAAAATAGGGGACCCTGATATAGTACCCTAAATAATAGGATCCTTATTATAAGGACCCCAAAATAAGGTACCCCAAATTTTCGGAAACCCCCATATACAGGTGCAGGAGTCGACGAAGAAGCTGCGTCCCCTTCATCTTCTGCTCGTGCAGTTGGTTGTCGTGTTTCGAACAGCCGTGGAGCGGACTTTGCTTTCGGAACAAATCACGCACTCTGCAATCTCCGCCCTAAACCAGGTACGCCGAAACCTGAAACCCCAAAGCCCAAACCCAATATTTTAAGAAACCCCCTTAAACGAGGCTACATGTCCCCGAGGTCGGGACTTTTTTTAGAATCTAGACCGTCCCGCTTGTTGCCCATCAGTCCGAGACTTGCGTGCATGACCTGCATAAGGGTTTAAGGTTCAGGGGTTCGGGGGTAAGAGGTATAGAACCCTAAACCATAAATCATAGAACCCTAAACCCTAAA